ACTTTAAATAGGATTTTACTCTTCAAAGTACTTTAAAATTTCTTTAATATATAGAAAAAGTGTTCTTAAATTTTTTTTTAAGTTTTATATAGTAAATTTTCCTAATATTAATATTAGTGAATACAAATGTGTAATACAGAAGTAATAAACAAGGAAAAAGAATTCGCAATTAACCTGCAGGTTAATTGCTTGTTTATTACTTCTGTATTACACATCTGTTTAGTGCTAATAAATGTACAATGTGAGTAATTTGTGTTCCGCATTCAATTCTCTGAGCATTGCAAAGTTTACAACTTTAAGTTGTTAGATAATTTCAAGGACCAAAACTTAAAAAACTTCGAGGCCTTGAAGTTACTTTACACAAACTTTTACTTACCTTTACGCCAACTTTAAATAACTAAACACCATTATTAAGTTACTTCACATAAACTTTTAGACACTTTTCATGAACTTCATGTCTTCAATAACTAAAGAAGCAAAAACTCAAGGATATTTTTAAAACTCTAAAATAACTTAAACAAAACTTAAAAATTTTTATAGTTAAAAGAACTTTTCAAATTTTTAAAGTTACTAAACAAAACTTTAATAAACTTTAGGCCAGGTCTAAAGTAAATTTTTCTAAGGGAGTCAATGATCTTTGACGCATTTTCTACGTACCTGTAGGAACCCAGAGTATTCACGCACATCTGCATGGTCCTGCTGCAAGGATTCGGCGTTCTCTGGCACTCGTCTATGTCCATGCACTTGCCGCTGGAGCCGGGCTCGAAGCCGCGCGGACAATTCGGCCAGGTGTCAGGCGTCAACGATTTCGGCGTCGTCGTGGTCATCGCGGTCCTCGCCGTCATCACTGACGTGCGTGGCTGCGGAGTCGGTATACGCGGGATACGATCGCAGCGATACGAGCCAAGAGTGTTTCTGCACTGATAACCAGACCCACAGTCATGTGTGCCTAAAACGCATTCATCATCGTCCTCGCAAATTTCCGTCGCGGCGTTGAGCGTGTATCCGGTGCCGCAGGGTAGAAAACGCGTACACGTATAGCTGCCGATTGTATTGTCGCATCGTTGCGTCGGCAGACAGTCGTTTTCCTTAAAAAAAAAAATATTTTAATCAGCGAAGAGCGCCTTGCCTTTCACTTCATCTTTCATACGCGTAAAGCGTCGTAATATTTGCATTTTTATCTATGGATTCACGCCGATCTGTTAAACGTATAATATATTTAATAATATATTTAGTGTCAATCTTATCGCCGTTACCTGCAACTGACACTCGTTGATATCGACGCAGGCTTGCGTGAGATTATCGCGCCTGAAACCGGTCTTACAAATGCACTGATAGCTGCCCATAGTATTGACGCATTCCTCGTTGCTGCTGCAAGCGTCTTCGATCTCCCTACATTCGTTGACATCGACGCAGCCGCGATTTCTCACGAACTTCGTGCCGTCCATGCACTTCTGGTTCGCCGGCGCCGGCATCGCCGTCGTGGACTGCCGCCTGGTCATCGGTACAGGCGCTTTCGCGCAGCTGTAACCACCTGGTTGATTGTAACAGATCTCGTCGCCGCACGCATGCAGCCCGTCAGCGCACTCGTCTACGTCTGCAATTTGAAATGAGATATTTTAGATGGCAAAATCTTTAAAAATATCTCTCATTTTGTTAAAGGAATTAACAATTAATGTTTCTTACAGCGTACGATTAGCAAAGCGTTATTATTCAGATTTGAAATCATGACCTTTTAAATTATAATTTTTACAGAAAGCACAGTTAAAAATAATTGAGACACAGAACGATACAAAGCACAAACATAATTCCACATGCAAGCAACTGTAAATTAGAATTAATCGTGCATTGGCAGAGATAATTCACCCATGCATCCGCGGGAAATTGATCGAACATGCTTCAATCAATTATCCTGGATTTGATATCGATTTTGACGTGTTCTGAAAATACGAAGAATATCTGAAATTGTTGTTATGTGATATGGGAACTGTACAAAAATTTTGTGCTACAAAATGTATAAAAGAGAAATACGATATGCAGCCAAAAATATCGAAATACGTAATGTTTCCACAATATTTATAAAAACATTTAATTTTAATTTCATAAGATAAACTTTATGCAAACTACACGCACCTGTACACATGCGGAACTTGGAGTGATACCGGTAGCCGGAGGGGCAAGCGGGTCGTTGACGTTGACGAGTAGACGGAGGTCTCTCGCACCTGCGAGACAATATACATCTTCAATAGAAATAGAAAATTCTTCTTTATTTTCAGATTGTTATATCAATTAACAGAATGCCCGAGTTTAGTCAATTCGAATATCACGGACCTGTATGTGCCCGGCAAATTAACGCATCTCTCGGAGAACTTGGCGTCACACTTGTAATGCCCAACCAAGCACTCGTCGACATCCTCACATCGTCGAGTGCCCAAAGAGTATTGATAGCCGGTCGAGCAGGAGGGCAGCCTGGTCAAACACTCGAAGCCGCCCTCTCGGTTCACGCAGTACTGATGCAGGTCGAGCCGGCAGTTATGCAGGCCCTCGGAGCACTCATCGATGTCTAAACAGTTGCCGTTGAAGGCTCGTTTGAAGCCACGGCTGCACGGCGGTATCAGCTCGCAGACGAAGGATCCGTTTGTGTTGACGCATCTGTGAATCGCAGTTTAAAATTGTTGACAAAATATTAATGAACTGATATATATTTATTATAAAAAAGAATATTAATTATTACTGAAAAAATACAAGCTCGAACACATCTTATACGATAAATTAATCAATCAAAGTGGTTGAAGAAACACACCTGTGCGTGCCCTGAGGACAATCGTGCCTGCCTAACAAGCACTCGTCCACATCTTGGCATCCCTTCGTCGTCGGGCTGAAGTACCAGCCGGCGCTGCACAGAGGCGAGCAATCGTAGCCGCCCGGAGTGTTCATGCATTTCTCGTGATCCCGGCATCCCGGACCGACCGTACACTCGTCAATATCCACGCAATAACCTGCGTTAGCGTCTCTCTTGTATCCTAATCGACACGGTTCCGTGGACCAATAACGATCCGTGTTCTGAAATATAAATAACAGTTAAATATTATATTAATACGACAAATTTACGTATCGCATTTGGCAAATTGACGAATCTATTATTCACAAGACTGCTTTTGGACACCTGCACTCTGTTGTAGCGCGAGCCGATGAATGTTCTTGGTGTCGTTACGCTGCTAGTTGATATTCTAGCGGTGGTGCTGGTGGTGCTGGTGGTAGTGGTCAACGCTTCGCAAACGTAGGAGCCGTTTGTATTAAGACAGTAATGCGTCAAAGTGTTGCAGGCGTGCAGACCGAGCGAGCATTCGTTTATGTCTTCGCAAGTTTCCTCGGCTTCGCCGGCGAAGCGAGAAATGTTGCGCGGCCGGAAACCGTGCGGACAGGCTGGAGAACATCGGTAACCACCGTCCGCGTTCACGCAACGCTCGTTCATTCCGCAAGCCGCGATTCCATTGACGCATTCATCGACGTCTGCAATAGATGAATTATTAAAACGGGTTTTTCGAACAGGAAGTAAAATTATTTTTTTACAATAAATAACCATTACCGATGCAACGGCGGGATTTTCCATCGAAAAAGTATCCGCTGCCGCAACTCTCGACTTCGTTCGCAACCGGCGACTTACTCGTTTCGTCGATTCTATAAAGTCTGCTCCTTTCCGTGGTAGATTTATTCTTGTCGTCTGGTAGGCATCTGTTTTTTTTTTAATAAAAATAATTAAATATTTTTTATTTAAGATAAACTTTGCATTAGAGTCTCTTTGAGGCTTGAATTTATAATTCTTTTTCATAGAAATACCATTTCGTACCTATAACTACCGATTTCGTTAACACAGCGTTCGTCGGGCTCGCAGGAATGTAATTGCTCGCTGCATTCGTCGACGTCAATACACTTGGTCATTCCAGAGTCATTCGCAGGCTTGTATCCTGCAGAGCAGGTCAACAAACCCGGTCGCGCGTTGTCCTGGCGATTCGACGGATCCTTCTTCATCGCAGGATGCGGAAAAAGATTTGCTGATATCTTTGTGCACTCGTATGCACCGTCTGTGTTGACGCATATGGTGCTGGGATCGGGACAAGGGTTGCTCGACTCGATGCACTCGTCAACGTCTAAAAGGAAATCGCCAAGTGTGTAAACTTTAATTTATCTGCTTTTAGAGAAAAGAAGCGAGAATTTAATAAAAGCATTGTAAGTTTCAATTTTTTTTAAATTTTGTTACTTTGAATTTAACAATATTATATATCGTACAATTTCTGTTATGTTATACTAGGCTGGTTAATTATCCATTACTCACATGCATGAGATACGGGGACGAAGTGTTGCATGCGGAATTAGATCAAATTTCAAAATCGTGGATGCGAAATCAAACTCATTCTCCTAAATTACTCCACGATCTTTTCCACGCAGTTGCGAGGCACGGTTTTGCATGCGTAAAGCTGCCTAAGAAGATCGAAGATTAAATACAAACGGAGCAAGAATTTATTTGATTGAAAAACAATGCTCATCATGCTGTCGTACGTGCAGCGCGCGCAGATTTATTGAATATAATCGATGCGAGCACTCACCGACGCAGGCACCTAAACCGATATTGTACGTAAATCCCTTCTCGCACTTCATATCGCACTCGTAAGCGCCCTCGATGTTTCGACATTGTTCAACATCTGCCAGACAGCTGTGAATATTTTCCGCGCACTCGTCCACATCTGATCGACGAATAACACGAAGGAAAGCACGAAAGAGAATACAGAAAATTTTGCTTCATGATAAATCGACAAAACTGCAGAGACAAGTGGCTTTTACCTTTGCATTGCTGCGAAGATTTGTCGAATTTGAACCCAGCGGGGCAAGATCTCACTCCGGTCATCTCCAAACACGTGTAACTGCCCTGCGTATTCACGCAGAATGGCTTGTCGGTGGGACAAGCGTTCGACAAGACAGTGCACTCGTCGATGTCTGGAAAATAAGAAATAATAATTTTATTTATGTCTTGAAAATATTTGTTTTTCGTGATTCGAAAAAAAGTGCCAATATATTTATTCTTATAATTCTTTTCTGCAAGAAGAAGCTTTCTTCAAAAACTAAGTAATAGATTCAATTCTTTTTAATTTTTTATTTAGGTCATATTTACTGGCAGAAAGTAAAATGCGTTTTAATACCTGCGCACACACTTGTACGTAGATCCCATTGGTAGCCTGGCGGGCAGGCTTCATAGGACGCACGTTTGACGGCCTTCTCCGTGATGCAGATGTACGATCCCATGGTGTTCTGGCATCCTCCTCCAGGACACACGTTGCGCTCTAGGCACTCATCCACGTCTGATCGATCGATCAGCGCGCAATGCCAGCGTGCGAAAAGTGACGATCACATGCGAAAATCGAATGCACGATTGCGGAAACAAGTGGCACAGCGAGATTGAAATTATTCGATTATCGAGTAAAAAGGAAATACAGATTTAACTGCAATTCACACACAAGCGAGATACAAGACAGAAATGGTGCTACAGCGAACATGGCGATACAATCGACGCAATATTGCAGCGTACATAGAACATCGACAAGTGTGTCGATGTATATATTGAGGCAAAGACATATTTCTATTGTATGCATTATAAAATAATAATGTAATCTATCATTTCCATCTTCTTACCTGAATAACGTAATATTATACTTTTTTATACATACCATCGCACACTTGTTTAATGGAATTATAACGATATCCGGATGGACACAACGGTGACAATTCGTTATCCTCGTCTTCGTTCGGTGTCTTCTTTTTAGGTGACTTCGGAATGCACGAACGCCTGTCATCAGCCAAATCGTATCCTGGATTGCAACTGCATATAACGGCCACCCCGTTGTCGGTGCATCGCTGCTCGCAAGGATGAGTTGATTTGCATCTAAGAAATCAGAGATAAATCTTTATTAATATTGTAGGCTGGAATAGTAAGTTGATTTTTCTCTTATTATACTCGACATATTCAACAATATTAATCAGAATGACAATTGTACAAGGATAATCGATAATACTATTTTTTAAATATGTGTTATTTCTTTTCGTAATAAAAGAAATTTCTATTATACGCACCTGTCAGTGGGCAGATCTTGCCTGCAAGTCTTTCCGTCCTCCAATAAAGTGAACCCGTCACGACACTTGCAATAATACGAGCCGGGCGTCGGTACGCAAATGTCAGTGCAAAGTATGCCTTTCATGAGTTGACAGATATCGTCGAGCTCTGTGAATCAGAACGCGCAATTTAAAGTCGCACTTGCATATAGACTGTGAAAAAATTACAACTGCGCCGAAGCGCAAACCAAACGACGCTTGCAGAACGCGATGCGCGATGAATAATATTTATTTACATAGGAATTTTTTTTTATTGTAAAGAATTATAATTTATATTATTGTAAATTCTTTGTAAGAGTATAGAAAAATATTTTTTAACATAATATATAAGTCAAACGTATGCAATCTTTAATATACCTGGAGTTGGTATTGAATACGACGTAGATCCCGACGATGAAGACGAAGAAGACGAAGAAGACGATGAAGACGAAGGAGACAAAGAAGACGAAGAAGACGAGTCGTCCGATGATGAAGATATGAACGATGTAGATGAAGAAAACGAATCGTCTGATGATGAAGATATGGGCGATGTGGGTGAAGAAGACGTATCGTCTGACGATGAAGATATGGACGATGCAGATGAAGAAGACGACGACGACGGCGAATACGGCGACGATGGTGAAGACGGTGATGAGGAATCCGAGGTGCTTTCGGTGCTCTCGCTGGTTAATTCGCTCGTAAGATCCGTCGTAGAGCTCGGCGATGACTCGTGACAGCATTCCAAAAACGCAGGATCCCAAGGAATACCAAACGAGAAGCTTTTAAAGGAGCATCCTTGAGCCATAGACCCCGTGAGGATACCTGTTTTTCAGTGAAACATTCGTCAAGGGTAAGTTGTGCAAATAATCCGCCTGAGTTTCTCGAAGATGAGATTAATAATTTGTATTTATAAATTTTCAATATTACAATATTTTAATAATTTACAATTCTCTAGAGTTGTAAAATATTGATAAATTGATAAAATATAATAAAATAAATTACCTAGCTTGCAAGCCTCGCAACAATCACGATGGTAATCACCACGGCCGGGTGTCCTCGACTGCGTTGTGCTCGTCACGCACGCCAGACCCTGACGTGCGTCGGATTTCCCTTTTTCACATTGCAGCTCGTGATAAGCTCGCACGCAACAGATGTCCACAGCCTCCAGACAGAGACCTTGCTCTACCACCGGCACTCCGGGCACGGGCCCGATGAATTTTTCACACCTCAAACTCTCTTTGGCCCAAGATGTGCCTAGACTACAGCATTTCTCAAACTGCTTCTCCATTCTTCCTTCCACAAACGCTATTATGGGCAATAAAAATAAGCAAAGTGTGTAAATTTGTTTAAGAGGTGGAAATTAACACCGTTAAATTCAATAATATACTTCAATTCAACATTTTATATTTAGAATTGTTAATTAATTCAACCGATATTTATAAAAATATGAATACTTTATTTTGAAAAGTAAATTTTCTAAGTTTGCGCGTATTTTTTTGAAACAGAAATACACTTGCGCTTTTTTATCTACTTTACATGCCATAAATTAACTCCAGAAAGATGAGATGGTAAATGCAAGTAGGTCAAACGCTCTATTTGATTTTTGTCAAGCTTATCATTCTCTCAATCCTTTTGCCATCCGCTTAAAAAATTCTCTCATTGCTCACTAACGTAAATTTATCTCTTATTTGCAGATTAGTTCCATAAAATTCGAATAGAGAGTAAAGAATCACTTAGAAAAGACAGAGTACATATTATAATTCTATTGAAAAATCAATACGGAAATTTACGGATCTATCGAGGAAATGCGACGAACGGCGGTGAAAAAAAAATCGCGCTTTGCACATTGATAAGAGCGAAGAGCGTCAAAACCTCGCTTCTGAGAGAATTTTCTCGCTGACAGATGCGCATTATCTATAAAATATATCAATCCAACGCGCAAACAGGTTCTACGAAGAGCTTAAAGATTCTCCAATAGCGCTTTCACGATCTCAATTGTTTCTCAATGCGTTCGATCTACATGTAATAAGGAAATTAATTTATTTCAATCGACACGACGTGAACGAAAGTTGTACGTACCATCATAGGCGTCGCGTGTATTCTTTCTTAAATTCTTATATTATATAAAATCCGCGTCCTAAACTCAGCATGATAATTTAACGCTAATATCCGATTCACGATGAATGCTAAGCACAAACAATTTAATTCGGCGTTTAAAACAAGTAGAAGAAAAGTTCCACAGAGATTTTTCATGACATATGTTTGAGAATAAATCCTAAGATTATGCTATTTATAGAAAAATTTTGCCTGCGCCCATGCCAATCACTTAAATACAATTATCTTTAGAATATTGGTGACTGAACTGTATTCTTGGAACCGTTTTTACGATATCAAACGCGATTCATAGCGTTTTGCATGCACAAATAAGCCTAGGTCAATGAAGAAGTAACTAATAGGATGATTTGCTTAACGCCTGTATATACATTGAGTTCTGTCGCGACGCAATGAAATTTAGTTGATCGCAAATATCAACGACGATATAACTCGGTAAAATATACATAGATAAACAAAATTATATACAGCTAAATTTGAAATATTCATCAAACAATTTGCTCTGCGATGCGAATGACACTCTATTTGAATACTTCATTAAGAAATTGAATTCTAACTTGATTTATCAATTGTATGAGATTTTTGTACAAAGAAAAAAATAATTATCTTCAAAAGTTTAAAAAATGCCATAATTAAATAAATTAAAAAGTTGCAAGTTCCTTCTGATTCTCTATAAAATGTTTGCGCAGCAGACAATTA